CCAGAGTAGTAAGGCGGGGCTGGGGCACCTCATAAAAATAAATAAATAAAGGCATTCTGCCTCTATATAACTACCCCCCAAGATGAAAGAAGTGTTCAGTGGTAAAGTTTTTTTTTCTTGTTTCAGAGAAAGGTAGAGATACTGAATAAGTATGTAGTTGCTTAGAAAATATGTTCAATTAAATAGTAGAAATATAATCTTATAAATTCCAACCAGCAATTGTGGGGATAGGGTGGGTGGAAGATATTGAAAATTTGATCAATCTAACAAATGGCAAAGTCGAAGTAAAAATAAAAGCAAAGAAAAAGGGATGGTAAACTGAAAATAGTAAGATGTATCACAAGTACAGATGTATCACAATCAAGTGGTCAGACTTAATGGTGTTCCATATTTAAATACACTCATGTTATAAATATGTATATTTTTTAGTCAACTTTTAGTGTTTTAGTCAACTTTTGGTCACTGAAACCAAAATACCCAACAAGAGCAACTTAGAGGAGGAAAAGTTTATTTTGGACTCATGGTTTCAGAGGTCTCAGTCCATGTTGGTGGACATTGATGCTCTGAGCCTGAGGCCAGGAGAAAGGAGGAAAGCTGCTCATCTCATGACTGCAAGGATGCAGAAGAGAGTGAGTAGCCAGTAGGACAATACATGATCCCCAGGGATACGCCCCCAAAGACCTCTGTTGCCTTCAGCCATACCCCATCTGCCCATAGTTAACCACCCAGTATAGTGGTAATTTCAAATTATTGATATGCTGATTAGATTACAGCTATCTTAATTATTTAACCTCTGAATATTCCTACATTAACACAGGAGTTTTGGAGGACACCTCATATCCAAACCCTAACAGAGTTAATTTTTATTTCGTTACATGTTTTCAGAGACTTTGTTTATATTCTGGATCCCGTGTTAGCTCATCAGCTCAAGGATTTTGTTCATGTGATTATCGTCTTAATGTATTATATACACCAACATTTATCCCCCTGTACTTCATCACTCTCACCTGTACGTCAAATACAGTCAACCTTTTCTTGATTCCTTTTTTCCTCTCCTGTTGAAAGTCTAGATACTTCTTTTATTCCTACTCTTCCAAGGGAACTACTCTTATCAAAAAGTTCCAATGATCTTCTTGTCACTATTAACACGATTCACTTCTAACCTCTTATTTTTTTAAAATAGATTTTCTATACCTATTTATTTATTTATTTATTTTTATGTGGTGCTGAGGATTGAGCCCAGTGCCACACATGCTTGGCGATTGCTCTATCACTGAGCTCTACCATGACCCCAGCCCCAACCTCTTCTTTTTTTCCCATGAGAAAAATAAACAAATACCTACTTATAAATCTATTTATTTATTTAGTACTGGGGAACAAACCCAGGGCCTCACACATGCTAAGTAGGCGAGCTACCACTGAGGCTACCACTGAGCTAAATCCCTTGAGGATTGCTAAATTGCTTGTGCTGGCCTCTAGCTTGAAAATCCTTCTGCTTCAGCTTCCCAAATAGCTAGTATTACAGTTATGTACCACTATGCCAGCTTAAATCAAATATTATTTTAAACATAAATATAGGAAAGTGGTTAAGAGTGGAGTCTAATCAAAATGACCTGGTTTTCAATCCTGACTGTGTCTTGTGTTTAAAGTACTACCTGTTTGGCTTTGGGGGGAAGTTATGACCTCTCTGTGCTTTGGTTTCTTCACAAGACTTATCTCTTGATTCATGACTTATGTCAAAGTGATTTTCTGCTGGTTAAATGAAATACACATAAAGCACACAGGAAAACACATGACGCATGTTACATGCTGAGTAAATGTTAGCTGTGATTAAACTCTGAAATTTTTTTTTATTATTGAATGAGAATATAATTTTAGCCATTTTATTTTACTTTGCAGTACTGGGAATCAAACCCAGGGCCTTGTACATGCTAGGCAAGTGATCTACTGTTGATCTATATTCCCATCCTCAGGATATAAATTTTAATAAAGGAAAATGTTTTAAAATTTTTTACAGGTATAATATTTGATACAGGTATACTATAATATTATTTTATTTGTAAGTCAGAAAATAAAATCATTATCTTATAATTTATCACTCAGCCTAACAACTTTCCCTTTTTTTTTTTTTTTTTTTTTGGTACTGAGGATTGAACTCAAAGGCACTTAACCACTAAGTCCCATCCCCAGTCCCTCCCCCTTTTTAAAAAAATATTTTATTTTTTTAGCTATAGGTGGGCACAATATATTTTATGTTTATGTGGTGCAGAGGATCGAACCCAGTGCCCCATGCTAGGCGAGCACTCTACCACTGAACCACAACCCCAGCACCCTCCCCCTCACCCTTTTTTATATTCTGTTTAGAGACCAGTTCTTGCTGAGTTGCTTAGGGCCTCACTAAGTGGCTGAGGCTAGCTTTGAACTTGCGATCCTGCTGCCTTAACACTGGGCAGTAAAACACTGGGATTACAGGCATGTGCTATTTGATCTCATTCTTCTCACATCTCCATTTGTCCTGTGTATTTCTGCCATCCTGATTCTTGTGTTTCAGTCCCTTGATTTAAAAAGGGGGGAAGGGGGTGCTGGTACTATAGCTCAGTGGTAGAGCCCCTGCCTTGCACACTTGAGGCACTGAATTTGATCCTCAGAATCATGTAAAAATAAATAAATAAAGACATTGTGTCCATCTACAACTAAAATTATTTTTTTAAAAAGGCAGAGAATATAGCTTTGCATATTTATGTGCATGTCAGACTATTTAGTTTTGTCTGTTTTCAACTTGGTTGTGATAACTTATTTATTGTATGATTTTTTCATTAAATTTTGTTGCTAAGATTTATCCTAACTATTGGTGTATGTGTATGGTTTATTGATTTTCATGGAGATGGTTATAACGTGCACTGTTCAGGTCCATAGTGTGATTTAAATGAGTTGGTATTTGTAAAGTGCTTAGATAGTGTTTGGTACATAGTAAGGGCCTAAAGAAAGATAACTATATCATGTTTATTATTTTTCACTGCTATATGAGGTGATATATGAATATAACATGATTTGTTTGTGTATTCTCTTATGGATGAGCATTTGGGCTGTTTAACACAGAAAAGAATACTTCTCTGAACATTCACATACCTCTTGTGCCCTTGTGCAAGGGTTTCTTGAAGCCAGATATATTGACCTAGAAGAATTGCTGTATTATAACTAATGCTTGTGTTCAATCATATTAGATAATGCCAACTTGTTTTTAGTAAATATTTTTTAATTGTAGTGGACACAATACCTTTATTTTTATGTGGTGCTGAGGATCAAACCTAGGGCCTTGCACGTGTTAGGTGAGCGCTCTACCGCTGAGTCACAACCCTAGCCCCAACTTTTTTTTTTTTAAACCAAGGTAATTGTGCCTATAAATTTATCAGCAATGGGTTCTGTTTCCTCCTACCTTTACTGACATTAGGTAGTATCATTGTGTTACTTAGGTTTTCATTGCTGTGTGACCAGAATACCTCACCAGAACACCTTAGAGGAGGAAAATTTATCATGGGCTCATGGTTTCAGAGGTTCAGTCTATGGTCAGTCAGCTCCTTTGTTGTGGGTCCAAGCTGAGGAAGAACATCAAGGCAAAAGGGTTTGGTGGAGGAAAGTTGTCAGTTTATCGCAGCCAGGAAGCAGAGAGAGAAGGTGAGTATCCAGGAGGACAGGTTATAATCCCTAAGGGCACACCCCTAGACATGTACTTTTTTCAACCATGCCCTATCCACCTATAGTTACCACCCAATATAGTAGTCCTTTCAAATTACTAATTCATCAGATGGATTAGTCCATTGGTTAGGTTATAGCTCTTATAATCTAATTATTTCACCTCTTGCATTAACAGCAGCAACTCATCTCTAAACCCTAATGGTCATGTTTTTACTTTTCCTAATCTGTGGTTGTAAAATGGCATTCTGTGGTTTCATTTGGATTCTATTAATAATGAAACACTCAGGTTTTAATAAATTTTCTAGTTATTTGTATTTCCTTTTCTGTGCAAGTTTATTCACATTTTTTTCTAGTGTGCTGTCTTTTTCTTATTGATCTGGGTAAGTCTAAACATTCTTTATTCTAGGGGCTGGAGTTGTGGCTCAGTGGTAAGAGCACTTGCCTAGCATATGTGAGGCCTTGGGTTTGATTCTCAGCATTACATATAAATAAATGATTAAAATAAAGGTTCATCAACATCTAAAAAAATATTTTTTTAAAAAAACTCATTCTTTATTCTAATCCTTGTCAGTACTATTTGTTGGAAATATCTTCTTCCAGTTTGAGATTTTTTTCTTTCTTTTTTCTTATTTTTAATGGAATCCTTTGATGAATAGATTTCTGAATTTTAATTAGCAGTATGTGTCCATTTATGATAAAAAATATTCTCTGTTGTCACCATGAGGCTATTAATGCACTAATATTTAAGTAATTAATTGACCTGGAATTTCCTTTTGTCTATGGTAGGATTCCAGTTCATTTAAAAGAAAATTCATTCATAAAAATGAGTGATGGAAGATTAAACAGTTGTCTCAAAACTTTATTAGTCATCTTTTCTACATTGAATAATGTCTCTAGAACTGTTTTAAGTGGAAAGACTCTGTATTTTTGTTTCTTATTTTATAGAAATGCATGTAAACTTTTACCATTGAATACAGTGTTATATGTTTGTTTTTCGATTGAAAGAAATTTCTTTTGTCCTTATCTTCTAATAGGGTTTGATATTTGTACGATACTGAATTTTATTAAGTGCTTTTTCTTTAGTTTGTGAAATGATTTTATAGTTTTTCTTCTTTGTTAATGAGGGGAATAGATAGCTTTTTAATGTTTAACTACTTTTTATATCTTAGAATAAATCTAACACAGTCTAAGATATTTTTTATCTTTTTTATATATTGCTAGATTCATTGGGCTAATATTAATTATGCTTATAGGTTTGTGTATGAAAGTACTTTTAATGTAAACTTGTTTAATAAACTTTACAGCAGAAAATATTGGCGCAGAACTCAAAGCCCCACTTAAGCAAGAACCTCTCCAAGTAAGAGGTAAATATATTTTATTCTATATTTTTATTTTATTGATGATTTGAATTAAATATATAACATTAACTTATGGAGATTTTTATAGTTATATTATTTTAAGAGCAATACTTCTATTTTGCTTTTATTTAAATAGATTGACCGTAAGAATTTATTCTATTTAAAAACTTATTTTCTACAGAAGTTAATTATTTTGCATGTTGGCCAACATCTTCAGCTACATCTTTTTCAAATCCTGGTAGAGTTTGGCCATTCTTGTATGTCTTTTCTAGTAATAATTGAGTTCTGAGGAATTTGTTTGCAGCTCCGTTATGTGAAACAGACTGTTGGTTCCCATCTCCAAAGCAGCTGTTTTGTGGAGGTATCTCTTTGTGATTAGGAGCACTATGGTTTTGGTGTCAAACAAAACTTGGTTCCGTTTGTAACTCTTGAGTTTATTAGTTATTTGACTTTGGGAAGTTTGACTTATCTGAGCCTTAGTTTTCCCTCCTATAAGATGGCAATAAAAAATGAGACCTCTAAGCCGGGTATGGTGGTGCACACCTGTAATCCCAGAAGCTTGGCAGGCTGAGGCAGGAAGATTGAGAGTTCAGAGCCAGCCTCAATAAAAGCAAGGTGCTAAACAACTCAGTGAGACCCTGTCTCTAAATAAAATACAAAATAGGGCTGGAGATGTAGCTCAGAGGTCAAATGCCTGAGTTCAGTACCTTGTACCAAAGAGAGAGAGAGAGATCGATCTAGCTGGGCACAGTGGTGCTTGCCTATAATCCTAGCAACTTGAGTGGCTGCGGCAGATTTGAAGCCACTCTCTGCAACTCACTGAGACCCTGGCTTAAAATAGAAACAAAAGAAGGCTAGGAATGTAGTTCAGTTGGTAAAATGAGCCTGGGTTTAATCCCCAGTATCAGAAAAATAAATAAATAAATAAACAAACAAACAAATAAATAAGAGAACTCTTTTTTAGGGTAACTTGGGAAAATGAATAATCGGTATCAAAATAGCAGTATCCCAATGGGATGATGTTTCCCTTTTCTCCTCCCTCATAATAACATCCTTCATGGTATGGTATCAAGATTCCCATTAACAGTAATTTGGGCCATGATAAACAACAGGAATTTCTAGATATTTTGAAGGAATTTAGAAAAACAATTAAAAAAAAAAAAACAACGAATCTTCTAAACTGAGATGTGATTTTGAGTTTTAGGGTTATTAGAGCAAAGCAGCTTAGACACCTGGAACTTAGGCAAAAAGAAATCTAAATTTCCTTATATACTTTTCTCAGGTAAGGTTCTGGGTTTTTGTTTGTTTGTTTTTAAAAATATTCTTATTTTTAAATTTAATTTTAGTAGTTAATGGATTATTACAGGAGTATTTTTGCCCACTGAAGTGATTGATAATTTTAGGTTTGATTGTGTTCTTTCAATTTGGAAGTAGAACAGAAAACTAGGAATCACTGGATAAGAGCATAGAATATGAAGTAAATAGGTGACAATTTGAAATGGAGCTTATGAGGAGTTTTTGTTGTATTGTTCTGGCTTTTTTAGATGTTTGCTTAAGTTATTTATTTTTGTCGCATGTCTAATAAAAGTCTTGCTTTCTAAGAACTTGCTAACTTAGAAGAATGTGTAATTTTTAACTCACCAACCATACATAATTAATGCCAGATTGGTATCTTGTTATCGATGTCTCTGGCCATTTTTTTACTTTTTATGGCAGTTTTAATACTTGACAATAGGAAATTTACCATAAGTTTTAATTGATAAAATTGTTCCTTAGTTTACTTCAGTTTTCACAGTTTACAGTATGTGAAATAGTCCAGTGTCTTTTAAACATTTTTGACTGCAAGTCAAACTACTCCTTAACCTAGAAGACAGATTTTTATACATAACTGAATCAAACTTCACAAAAGTACTTATTCTTAAATATATTAAATATTCTTCATTTACATTCTATTTTGACTTTATAAAATGCTGGTTTGTCCCACAGTTTGAAAACACTGAACTAGACTATAATTTTTTCAATTGAAACTTTATTTTTAGTTAGACCCTAAATAACTTAATTGTTTCCATGTTTTAGACAGTTCAGTTTCACAGCTACAAGGTATTCATTAGACAAAAAGGTGGGCATTTGAACATAAATTACAAATGAACTATGGAGATAAAAACTGGATGGCTACAAGTGCAATTCTATCCTATTCTGCACTTGGATAATTTTTTTTTCTGATGCCATTTGGTGCATCAGGAAAATGATAACTTCCTATGGAATTTATTAGTGAGGCCCCTTAAGAATCAACATGTATTCTTCAAATATGACTTTCAATGTGCATACTTACATATTTTTCTATGTTTTTGATTTAGTCAAAGCAGTCCTTAAAAAAAGGGAATATGGATCAAAATACACTCAGAATAATTTCATCACTGGAGTCAGAGCAATGAATGAGTTCTGCCTTAAGCCCAGGTACAATATATATATTTTTTTTAAATGTAGTATTGCGCCCTATCTAAACAATCTGGCCATATTTTTCTTATAGTGTGTTACCTGCTACTATCCATATGTGGAAAATTTCTCCTTGGTTCGTCCTAAATTGAAAAAATATTTTTGTTTCAAAAATGTTAAAGTTATTAGCACCAGGAATTGTTATGCACACCTGTAATCCCAGTGACTCAGAAGGCTGCGGCAGGAGTATTGCGAGTTTAAAGCTAGACTTAGCAACTTAGTGAGGCCCTAAGCAACTTAGCAAGACCTGTCTCAAAATAAAAAATAAAAAGGGCTTGGATATGGCTCAGTGGTTAAGTACCACTGGGCACAATCTCTGTTGCCAAAAACAACAACAAAAATTAAAATTATTAACTTACTAAACTGAATTCTACCCTAGCATGAGCAAATTCAGACTTTCTCAGCTTCTTAAATTCACAAAGGCAAGTTTTTCAGAACCTCTGTATCACCAAAGAGTCTATTGTTATGGTTTGTTGAAATTGTATTTGTCACAGATTTCAAAATTTCTCCCTCCTTTGTGGGCTAACTGGAGAAACAAGATGATATATCCCTTTTCCATCCCCTGTGGTATAGTATCAAGAAATAAGTATTCCTATAATACATTTCATAACTTTCATAATCATTAATATAACTGATTATAACATTGATGTAAAACTATATTTTTTCACATAGAATATTTCATTTGGTTCTCACAGAAATTTTGTGAATTAATTGAATCAGGTATTGCTATCACACATTCTAGACTAAGTTTATTTAGTGAATCAGTAACAGAGAGTGAGTTAGAATGTATATTTTTTCAATGCCTGGCCCAAATATTTTTACTAACATGTTGTGGTTGTTCATTTGTTTTAAATCTAGATTTAATTTCTAGAACTTAATGACGTTCTCTAGTCACCAATTTTTATTTGTAGGTCTTTCCATTGCTATTACAAAATTTCCTTAGGAAGACCAGTGATTAAATATAAAATATTTAACAGTGACTTGATGAATATGTAAATTTCATCAAATAAATTTGTACTTTTGTAAATTTTTAATTTAAATTCTTACAGGATGATACTCTAAGCCATATTCTTTTCACTTTTAACTTTTTTTTCATACATTAAAGATTAGCAGTGGTGTGCCCATAAACAAAAAAATACAAACACCTACAAGGGAAATGAATTTCTACACATTATGCTCTGATGTCTGTACTGATCATCAAGAATAATTCTTTTTTTTTTCCTTTTCACTGTCTAAAGACCATTTTTGTATATACGAATGCCACCTTTAAACCTGTCTTCAAAAGATGTCTCCTCATCTTTTAAGATGAGGAGAAGTATAGTTGCTTTTATGTGCTCTTAGTAATCCTTTTCTCCCTCCATTTATTTATTTATTTTAATTAGAGCTTTATGGTTATATATAGTAGTTGGGTTCATGCAGAAAAACTCATACATACATAGAAATCAGCTTCAGTTCATTATCTCCCCTTTTCTGTCCTGCCTTCCCCCCTGCCTCCCTTTCTCCTTCCTCTACTAGACTTTCTTTGATTGGTTCTTTATGTGATCTTATTATTTCCTCCCCCTTTCCTTTATTTCACTCTAGCATCCGCATATGAGAGAACACATAGTAATCCTTTTAATCTATAAACAATATGCACTTTAAATAAATTCAACATGTTCCTTTCTTCAGTGATCTAGAACAGCTCCGAAAAATCAGACGACGAAGTCCCCATGAAGATACTGAGTCCTTTACTGTGTACTTGAGATCAGATGTGGAGGCAAAGTAAGATCATGTGTCTTTTTTTTTTTAAGTATTTATTTTTTAGTTATAGTTGGACACAATACCTTTATTTTATTTATTTATTTTTATGTGGTGCTAAGGATCGAACCCAGGGCCTTGCACATGCTAAGTGAGTGCTCTACTGCTGAGCCACAATCCTAGCCCAAGATCATGTCTTTTTTTTTTTTTGAGAAATTTTATTTTATTTATTTTTATTGGTTGTTCAAAACATTACAAAGCTCTTGATATATCATATTTCATACATTAGATTCAAGTGGGTTATGAACTCCCATTTTTACCCCAAATACAGATTGCAGAATCACATCGGTTACACATCCACAAGATCATATGTCTTTTAGAATAAAAATGAAGCCAAATTTGGGATTAATAAAAACACATTTCAGATAAATTCAGGATTTTTTAAATGACATATTTTGGAATAGAATTTTATATTTCCTAAATTTTTACTAGTACGTACTAGTTACCTAAATATATGACAGAATTTATAAGAAAATTTGTTGTTGAGGTTACTCTTATTGTTTAGATTTAATTAGAAAAGTTCCTAAAGTGTGTATTTTTCCAAAAAGACCTTATGCATTGTTGAAAGATTCTCATATTGTTTATTTAGATTTAAATATAATTACAATAAAGCCCTTAAAATAGTTAATTGGTGATGACAATGTTTTTATGTAACAGATCCTTGGAAGTTTGGGGAAGCCCTGAAGCTCTTGCCAGAGAGAAGAAACTGCGTAAGGAAGCAGAAATCGAATACAGAGAACGTAAGTATATTCAACTTAAAACTAAGTTAATTAAAAAGTAATTTGGGGGGCTGAGGTTGTAACTCAGTGTTAGAGTGCTTGCCTAGCACATGTGAGGCACTGAGTTCAATCCTCATCACACAGAAAAATAAATGAATAAAATAAAGGAATTGTGTCCCTCTATAATGAAAAATATATATTTTTTAAAAAAGTAATTTGTTGGTAAGAATCATGTTTGTGATAACTCTGCACTCTTTAGTGCTGGTATATCCTGTGTCTTTGGCTTTATTGGTTCCAGCAATCACCTGTTTTCATTTTGGGTTTTAATTTATGAAAAACTGGATCTATTTTTTTTTTCTTGATAGCTTTTTAAAGATGAAGAGAGGAAGAGAAGCCACAGTTTGTGGTTTTCATAAGTTAAAGGACTGTTAAAACTTATTTGATTTAAAGATTATACTTGTGATAGAAGTAACAGAATAGAAGATACCTGCTTTCTTACAGAAAGGTCTATTAACTACCACGTTAATTAATTCATTCAGTAGATATTTATTAAACACCCACAAGAAGCTGTGCTTGGTGCTTGAGATACAGATACAGATAAGACTCTGAGGTTACTTAACAATGTAGTAGTTTAGTAACAAAATAACTTTAGAGTTTAGATTTAGGATAAGGTAAAATATGTCTTAGAGAATTGATTAATTTACATAAATATGTATTATTAATGATAAAAGGGACACAAGTATGATTAAAAATGAATAAAGAAACAAAAAGAATAAGATGACTCCTTTCATTTTCTATTATATTCTTTTATTTTCCTGCCTGGAGATGACTGGTGTATATCTATTTCCATTGCATTTTTAAATTAATATATACTTACGCTTGTGCATTTTATTCTTTATAGATGTCAGTGTAATAACTATTTTTCTATATTTAGAAATATATATTATTTATCTTTAAAAAGCTGAGTGGGATTCATGTTTTACAATTTTTTTTTTTTTTTAACTTTATAAAGAAGGCATTGATGGCCAGGTATGGTGGTGCATGTCTGTAATCACAGTGGCAGCTTTTATTTTTTAATATTTTTTTAGTTGTAGATGGACACAATACCTTTATTTATTTATTTTTATGCGGTATTGAGGATCAAACCTAGTGCCCTAACCCAGTGCCTCATACATGCTAGGCAAGCGCTGTCCCACTAAGCCACGGCTCCAGCCCCGTCCTAACTTATCAAGATCCTATCTTAAAATAAAAAGGGGGTGTGGAGGATGCTGGGGACATGGCTCAGTGGTTAAGCATCCCTAGCTAAGTTCAATCCCTGGTACCAAAAAGAAAAAAAGAATATGAATACATTGGTGAATTATTGAATGTCATCTGACTTTTTCCATTTTTTTTTCTTTTTCTTTTTTGTGGTGCTGGGAATTGAACCCAGTGTCTCGCACATGCTAGGCAAGAGTACTACCACTTGAGCTATATCCCTAGCCCATCTATCTCCCCCAACTTCCACTTTCTTTTTTTACACATGAGACTATTGTGAATATTTATATAGAACTGTTAATAACAGAATTTTTAGGGTCAAATTTTATATGGAAATTTTAAAATTTGATTGATCCTGAAGAATTATTCTTGAGTTTACATCACACTCATAGAATATTAGGGTGCCTATTGTACCCTTGTCAATGCTATGTACTAACAGTATTTTAACTTTTTGTGCATTGATTGGTAGCAGATGACACTTGTTTAATTTTGAATTTCTCTGGTTACTATTGAGGTTGATTATCTTTTAATCTGTTTACATTTTCTTTTCACTTATCTATTAGATTGTGTGTCTTTTAAAAATCTTTTTAGCGAGCTTTGGTGGCTTTTAACACAGTTATAAATGTTCTAAATATGAAATATTCTGACTTCAAAATTTGTTTTGCCTTTTCCTTTTTAGTGGGGAAATTTCAAATATATTCAGAAGTACAGAGGAAAGTATAGTGATCCTTCAAGTATTAATAACCTAGCTTTACAGTTATCAACACATGGCCAACTTGGTTTCTCTCTTATGAGCCCTCATCTTACTGGATTACTTTCAAATCAGTTCCAGAAACTGTATCTTTTCATCTGTAAATATTTCAGTATATAACTCTAAAGGTCAGGGTGTTTGTTTTAGTCACTTTGTGTGATGGCAATGGTTGAACTGTTTTACAAAGTTTACCCACTGCTTGCTAACCTATCAGTCTTAATAATCCTCTCAGTTGGCCCTTGGTTGAAGTTCCAAGGTACTCTCATAGCTTTAATTCTGTCAAAGAAAGTGAGTGACCTTCTGCGCTGATTTCTTTTCTTGTCAAAATTGAAAACATTTGTGTATTTTTTTAGCCGGTCCAGTTGGGAGGAATAAGGAATATATGTGAGGTACTTGTGGACTGGAATATGTAGTAGTCATTTATCTACATATTGAATGTAGATTTTCTTGCAAAATCCAAGTCCTTTAAGTCATTGGTTTGGCATTTTAAAAAGTATCAAAGGAATAAGTAAATCCTAGTATCTAAGAGCTTTGGTATTTCAGAAGAAGCAAACAGTTGTTGACTACCATAAGTATGCTGCACCTAACAGTCACAGAAGTAAAACACTTAATTTCAGTGGAAGAAATACATATTGGGGTCAAATAGCACCAGAAATTTTGATATACTCTTCAGTTATTGGGATTTTTTAAATAGGTACTATTGATACTGGTGGGGTGTCTAGTAGGGGATCCAGGTTCTTGGCATCCTGGACAAAGAATTGAGCAAGTCTGCAGAAGTAACAGGCAGAGCATGTATTTTGTGAAAGTGAAAGTTAATATTCATTAGAGTGAGTGGAGTGGGCTCAGCCGAAGAGACTGGCTCAAGACCCCAATATTTGGGCAAGCCTTGTCTTATATCCTGAGCTGTGCTTCTATGTCCTTTCCATACAGACCTGGTTGAAGTACTTGTCCCATTTATTCCCTTTGGTTACTTTATTTTCACCTAATTAGAATACAGAACCTGTTGCAGGAATTGCCATTGGCAGTAAACCCTTACTGGCAGGGAGTTGTTGTGGTAATGGGATGTATCTTAAACAGGGTCATGATGACTCATCGGGTCTTATACTCCAGCCAGCATTTTTTCTTATACCCCCATCTCCACCATCTTGACATCCCTTAACTCCTACCTTAATACTGAGCTAACATGGGATATGATCAAATGTTGTTTGATGTGGGAACCGCATCAATAATTGTTTAAAAAACAAGGCAAATAAATTATTTTGAGTGGATTCCTTGTCTCTTGATAAGTTGACAGATGTTACAGATGGTTACAGGTGCTGCTTAGTCTTTGTTATTATCTTTGTTATTTAAGAAGTCAATACTAAGTGCATCTGAAGAATTATCTTTATGAATGATTTTTATGGAACTATAGACATTACTATTTTTAAAGATGTTAAAATACCAATTCTGTAAACCTGAAGTAGAATGTGCCAAGATGTGTATAGCTGATGTTGATAAAAGCCTGTGTGGAGCAAGAAAAGCCTTAGTTGAACCAATTTACATTTATCACTAGGTTTGCATAAAGTATTTGTCATTAGTATGTACTTTGTAGAAAATACCTAAATCTTTCATTTGTTATTAGGCCAGCAGTATCAACTGTGAATTTCATTCACTCTTGTGATCTTAGCTATTGTCACTCTTCTGTGAATTTTTCATCATATTAGCTCATTATTCTGATTTACCCCTACCCTTGGCATTTCAGTGGTTTGTCAGATTAACCTCAAGTTTTTGATCTTGGGATTAAATATTCAAGATTGAAATTTTTCTAAATAAGAAAGCCCACCCAAAAGAAAATAAAAGAAAGCCCACGGGGCTGGGGTTGTGACTCAGCGGTAGAGTGAGACCCTGGGTTCGATCCTCAGCACCACATAAAAATAAATAAGTGAAATAAAGGTATTGTTTCCAACTACAACTAAAAAATAAATATTAAACAAAAGAAAAAAGAAAGCCCACCCATTCATCACTATTACCAATCACTGAAAAACTTTGAAAATTAGTCTTGCGACAGTCTTGAGATTTCTTAATGCATTCATTGTAAATGCATTAAGGTAAAACAATTCTTAAATATGAAACTTATTTGTTAGTAAAGTCATTCCACAACTGATTCATTATTTAAATTATATGTAATGTTAAGCTGCTTTATGGACTTCTATACTGTTTAAAGCTAAACAAAAGAAATGTGTAGTGGTTAAAATTTCCAAGCCCAACCTATAGTTCCAGAAATGTTTTTCAGTTTTTATTTGTTGCAAGTGCAAAGGAGATTTCCATATTTCAGAATCCACTGAACTGTGCATTTGAAGAGCTTCCACGTAACCTTTAATTGGAAGTGATTGAACTGCTGTATAATGACATGCTAAAAGGCAAATATCAAAGAATTTAATAAAATTTTATAAGTGCTTTCAAAGCAGTGAATATGCTCATTTAAAACCATATGCTTTAAAAAAGGGTTCTGTCATGATTGGAACATGTAGGGCAACTCTCTTCGTTATGCAAAATCCACATCAAGAGATTTTGGAAGCATAATATTTTGGTAGGTGAGCAGCTGGTGATTATTGATTAAAAAAATTTTATGCTTATGGATTGATAGTAGTATTTTTTCATGTATGAAATCTCAGATCATTATTACACATGAACATTTGCAGCCAATTTGGGTGATAAAGAACCGATAAGGAGAACTAACTTTCTTTTTCCTTTTTGGTGCTGTGGATCAAAAAGCATGCTCTGTGCTTTGTGCATGGTAAGCATGTGCTTTACCACTGAGCTATGTATATAGCTCTATATACATTAACTTTTTAAATCTCAGTTAAGTAAAATGTTATCTCACTCCCATCCCATCTCATTAGTAGACCTTGTATTACCAAAAAAAAATTGTACTCACATATATTTATTTTAAATTTTTGTCAAAAAGTTAGTGGAGGGGCTGGGGTTGTGGCTTAGTGGTAGAGCACTTGCCTGCCACGTGTGAGGCACTGGGTTC